ATAAAACTGCGCTTTGTGGATTTTAAAAACATCGGTTCTTTCGACAGGATAAAAAAACAAGTATATCTGAGGATGCCGTAGAATATCAAAGACTATGCAGGTATTGCTTATGGCGCATCGGAACGTACCAGCTGTGTAAACAAAGATACGAGTTTGAGAGTGGCAATAGCCGGTCTTCTTTTAAAAATTGACGATATTCGACCAGATAAAAGTCGGATTCGGAGGAAAAGACCGGATGGAACATAACACTAAAAATAATTGCTTGTTGAGAAGAAATTCCGAGAAAATCTGGACTAAAATGATATTGCAGAAAAATATTTAATATTTGAAAGACAAATTTTATTGCTCGCCCGGCGCCTCCACCATTTTTTATTTTAAAATCTAAGATTGCAAAGTTGAAATAATGGAAACAAAATGACTGCATTTTCTCTTGTAGTAATCTGTTAAGCCTTAATGTTGATTTTGTGTTAAATCCAGCTTATAATTTTGTTAGGATACAAAATTTATGGACGAAAAATTTCGAGTTATAATCCATGTTAGTAGAATTGTGTTATTTGCGAATCTAGCACCTGGGTTGTGTTAATTATGCTTTAGTAGATGTTTTAGTTAAAAACCAAATTATCTGCGGGCTAAGATTGGCGTTCAACAAACCGTGTCTGTGGAATTTTTTTCGTTTGATCTCGTTTACCCCCGAGTATTTTTCCAAATTGAGTTTCCGGCCCAAGCCAAATTTTTAAAACGTATCTGCACCGAAATAAAATTTCTAATCGGATAAAAAACATCCTTCACACCGGGAAATTTCAGTCAATTAAATGGGAGACGACTTTTCAAATTCGTTTGATGTCATTGAATTTAATTTCGTGCTTCTTTCAAGTCAAGATTTCAGGGAGACTCTAATCTATTCAATAAAATTCACACATTTTCGCTCTTATCTACAAATTTTGTAAACAGGTTTAGAGGATAACTAACTAAGTTGGAGAAATACTTTTTAGTTTCATTTTTCGCTGAAATTAAATTGGGGAATACATTTCCATACATTTGCATGCTGTACAACTTTGAGAAATTCGATTTTTCGGTGATAAGCGACGACGCGACTTCTGAATAACAATTCGCAAACGATTGGCTATCAATAAATTATGAATGCAGCAGTTTAGACTTTAACAAATGGTAGCATTAATCCAAATTTGAGTTTCTACAATCAATTTTCCTCATCGTAAAAATGCAATCTTATCAAGATGCATTTTGTGTACTTGAAAAGAACTTTTGCAATTAAAAACTTTTAATTGCAACAGTTGAACAAAAATAAGTGTCTTTGGCCCGGCTCATTTAGAAAACTTAATGACTTATTTCTAACTGACCTAAACTGCAGTAAAACTTTTAAAATTCTTTAACTATCGATAAAAACCTAGTCAAGAATTGATGGAATTTCGTATAGTGTTTATTCAAGTCTAGATTCATTCGGATAACAATCCTCTAACGTTATTTGAAAAACATAAAATTCGCATCATAAAAAACGGAAAGCTGGATTCGGTCCAAATAAGTGTAAACACACGATAAAGTCACAGCTTTTCCCTTGTAAATAACATTAATAAGACCATCTTTTAAAACGTAATCCTCAGATACAGATTGATTAAATTCCCTCGTGGCAAACCGGTTTTAGGCCTTTTAACGCACAGTAAAACCCACAAAGAAATGAGCATTAGCACAGCTACTTCCGGATAAAAGAGCATTAATGAATTTACCCAACCTTAATACACACCTGCGAGAAAATATACCCACACCAAATTTAATTTTAAATCAAAACTGTGGAAATAGAAACTATTAATATTTAATTAGAACACCGGGTGCAGTAATTGTTGAGATTATCAAACGAGTGATCTTAAAAATGTAAATGAATTATTCGCATTCTTTAAACATTAAACTATTAATGTCTAAAAATAAACAGTCAACTCAAAATATAAAAAAACAAGTTCTATAATGTGTGGATAATAACCTTAAAATTTTGACAAAGTGTAGTTTACGAATTTTTTATTTATTATGTATTTTTATAAAAGAAAATCATTCTTTGGACATTTTATATAATAAATATTTTTTCTTCCTTAATTTACATATTTATAATCGATATAAAAATGTAGATATCAAAACATTTTATCTTGTGATACATAACATTTTCTATAGTTGTTTGTATTACAAGAAAAAAAGTGTATCTTTTCCTCCCAAAGATAGAAAAAAGAAAAAAAAGTAAAAAAGGCACTTTTTTCTGGTGTAATACTTAATTTTTCCTTCACAGCAAAACTTCTAAAGTAACAATTTTCCTTGATATCCCAGTATCTTTAAATCTAACAGCATGTTTTCCTGGTTCAATGAGAAGTAAAATTTTCACTTCCCTAAGAAGTTATATACACTGTGTCAATTTTAAAACTTGCAATCGGCAATATCGATCAACTGAAAAAGCTATTGAAAATCACTTAGAACCGTTTTGGTGGTTCCTAGGAGGAACCTAAATGACATGGTAAATGACACACCTCCACCCACCCTTAAATATAACAAAAAAATAAAAATTTAAAGTCTTTGTTTTTGAATAATTGAAAAAATGGCTTTACTAAATAGGCTGTTGTATGACATTTTTGAAAAGCGCTTGTTCTGAGCTTTTCAACGATGTATCACAACAAGTAGGGTAGTGCCATTTAAAATTTTCAACTTGAGGTGGCTTCAAGGGTGGGGGAAGTGCGTCACTTACCATGTCATTTTGGTTCCCCCTAAAAACCACCGAAACGGTTTTGAGTCATTATCGATAACTTTTTTAGTTCTAGAGATGTCGCCGATTGCAAGTTTTAAAATTGACACCCCGTATATATTTATAAACGTATATGACTTTTCTCACTTCAACAGACGTTCGAAAGTGACTCATTACTGACCACCTACCTACCGCTATTACTACCTTTGTTTTCTAGTCCCACTTTTGTGACAATTAAACGTTGTCTGTAATGTTTGTTAACATGACAATGAAACGATAGACGAGCAGATTTTTCAGATTTTTTTAACTTTTTTCACGAAAATTAAAGATGCGGCTGTGAATAAAATTGTATACAAACCTCGATGAAAAGTTTCATTTCTGTCGCAAGATTAGAAAATTTACGCTTACGTAGGTTAACTATACAGGGTGTCAATTTTAAAACTTGCAATCGGCAATATCTCTAGAACTAAAAAAACGAATACGTTAAATTTTCATTTTTTTTTATTATATATGTGGGTGGAGGTCTATCCCTTATCATGTCGTTTTAATTCCCCCTAGGAACCACCAAAACGGTTTTGAGTGATTATTAATAATTTTTTCAGTTGAGAGAAATTGCCGATTGCAAGTTTTAAAATTGACACAGTGTATATCTCGACACTTTCCACCTCGGTATGTAACGTACTATTATTATAATTTTGACAGATAATAGAGTTCTTTACCTTTTTCTGCAGTTAAGATGCACATGTCTAATAAAATTAACATATTTTTTTGAAATATTCTCTTTAAAGAGGTAATTATTTATATTCCAAATTTAATATTTTAATCATTACCAAAGCAGATTAAATCAAATTAAAACAATAATTACTTTAAAAAATGATTCTGTTTGTAATCAGAATTAATTACATTTTTAATATCTTTGTAGGTATCTCCCTCAGCGCATTTGTAAACAAACCCCTTTTGTTTCTTTAAAAATTATATTTTTAAATATATATTATTAATACACAAATTAAATTAATTCATGGTCTTTTTATAATACTAATTTTAGAAAAGTTTTAAACGAGTTTGTAATTACAAAAAAGTTGACTAATTTGTTCCACAGATTTGTAAAAAAGTGTGTGAAAAACAATAATTAAAACGATAGGAAAAAAAACAACAGAAAAACGACTAATAAAAAATTGGCGTTTTCTAATTTTATTTTGAAATTTCGAGACAATTATTTAAAAATATGTTTCAAAAAACTGAATTTAATAGCTTTTTATTTCTATTGTTGTATAATAAATAACAATAATACGCTTTTTGAAAAAATTGGCTAAAACAGTTCAAAAACCGCTGTAAATTTCCAATTAACTTTGCGAAATATCGTGTTCGCTTTTGAGTTAGTGAAAATTTGTTTTGTTTTAGGTTCGCATGAAAACAATCAAACCACTGCATCCGTGCAACATATTTAGGCGACTTTTATTAAAAATTCCCTTCTACATTTTATTGTCTGTCATGTATAAAACTCTCGAGACGTTGAATATTCCCTAATAAAGCCAAAATTGAGCATTTTCAATTTGTTTCGAGCTTTTAATAGCGAATAAAGTGAATGCAAGTGAAATAAAAAACGTGTTAACGGTCACGCCTGGCGTATCGTTTCAGGTATTTGCTTCCAGTTTGCTTGCAGTGCCATATTTTCATATCATTCCGCAGTCAGCATCCAAATACAATGTATTTTGCATACAAATCCCCACAATAACACTTAATATTATGTCCGTTGTCCGAATATTTAATTAAAAAATATCTCCCAGAACGGTTGTTTTAGTTTAGCAAGTTTCGACCGCATGTCGAGAATTTCAATTAGCACTGTGACATGTCCCTCTTATATTGCCACGAATACCTGAAGTCGGACTAAAAACTTCCACGACAAACAGATGCACTCTGTTTATGTTAAATTGGGCAGTTCCTCTAACAATGCATCACAGGGGGCACTAATTCATCGGTTGGTAACCCTGCCGCTAGCACACAGCTTCCTTTAACAAACTCTCGTGTCCGCATACACTATTCATCATTGTGCATTATAATCAAGTGGGCCGGGTTGGCCCAGTTGTATACTCTCGGATGATCTCGCCGGCAAACGTTACTACCAAAATTGAATTAGCAAGCGGCGATAATTTGCTGTATTGTTTGAGTTTTGCTTTACTGAACAAAAAAACACCATTGAACACTTTAGGAGGATTGTTTTTCTACCAACTCCACGTTAGGGATTTTTTTTCCACCAACTTACCTACTTATAGTGTTCCAATTCGGTTCTTGCAACTGCAACAAAAAATGTGCTAATTATTCCTAATCCTTGATCTGTCACGATAACAAAAAACCAACATTAAAACCTCCAAACTTCTATTAGATAATTTCCCGAGAGGCATCAATTGACAGGATTCGATATTGCGAACATTCCGGAGTCTCACAACCCTTAAAAAATTGCCTTTTTATCCAAATTACAATATCGGACTTTTTGCACCCATTTCCCAAACAAAACCTCTTTTTATTACAATTAATTTAATGGTTTTTGATTGCCAAGTCAAGGCCAAAGTTCACTTCAAATGACTTGATTGCATAGACGTGTAATTACAACCGACAACAGGCTCTTTGAAATAACTACATTTGTGAACAGTTTGTTACACCGGAATAAATCAGAGCAGTACTATTTGCAAATAATTGCTTTTAATAATAATAAATTTATTCAATTGAAAGCCTTGAAATACTCAAGTAAAACAAAAACACATTTAGAACTTGTCTAAATTCACGAGATTATTCACATCTACAAAACTCATGTTTCAATTAATTCACTAAAAAAAAAATACAGTATTTAAAATTGTGTCAAGTGTAACGAGTCGATTGCAAGGCAAGTGTACCTCTCGACCGGACTTGAAACATAACTTTTCTAATTAACGCAACTCATATAACTTATTTAAACTATTTGTAATTAAACAAACTATGTGTTGAGGTGTTTAGAAGTAAAAATTTAAGACGTAATTACAACATTCTGGCGTCAAAAAAGCGCGTTATTTTCTCATTTTCCTTCAACAGATTTATAACGAGCGCAATATTTCCCTTTGTTGGAATAAATACAATATGCTACCCGCGTCTAATGAAGAAAAAATAGGATCAACGGATGAATTGTGTCCATTTTTTGTACCACCCATTTTAAATAAAGTAGTTGGAAAGTGAAACAAAGGACGATAAATACTACAACGACGTGACTATCTTGTGTCTTTTGTGGGAGAAAACTTCTTAAAGGAGATAAGAGGCGAAATAGGCCGGGTTATTGTTATTAGCAGTGTAGTCAACAGCTGAAACTTTTCACAAGTTGGAGGTATTGTATTAGCTGAGTATTGTTTTTGTGAAAAAAATTAAGAAAATCCGGCGCCACCGACGCAGTTTTTTAGCACACTTGTCCTCAAAAAGCAAGTCTCACTTATTTCTATAGGGTGCGCCAGAACTCGAGTCCCAGAGAAAAATGCCATATAAGGAAAGATACTAGGAACATGGAAAAAATGTTTAAAAAATTCTATCTAAAAAATTTCGAAGTTACTTGAAATTTTTCTCTGGGGCGCGAGTTCTGGCGCACCCTATAGTATATAGTATGACAAACTATTAACAATGTTATTTTTTTTTTATTTTGCGTCTTTAACAAAGCTATTATCGAACTCGTTTGAGTGCGTTAATAGCTTTTCGAAGTGGTTAACAGCCTATTTTATTTATGTTATTAATGTCATTGACAATGTAATTAAAGTGCTGTCAATAAACTTACCAATTTCCCAAATTTTCAGTGACAAACATAAAAAAAAATTGAGAATTTATTTCTGGATTACGCACAATAACTCTCACAAGATTCCCGAAATTATTTTTTTTTAAGTATAAATTAAAAAAAGTTCATTATACAATGCATTCAATTAAATCTCTAATTAAAGTGACTCAAAATTGTCAAAATAAGTTTGCAACACTGAATAAAATAGAAACAAAAGATATAAAATTTCACACATCTTACATTTTCTGTTTTTACATTCTTAATTGTTGCCAACATAATTTTCAAAGTTGCAGGCTATTTTTACCAGATAATTTTATGTATGTATTTGCGATTATAGCAAATTCTATTAAAATAAGAAAAAAAATTATTGTAAAGAATAATAATTTTCGATTGCTAAACATTTTAACTGCACTTAAAAATTTTTAACCACAAAAATTTTAATAGATTAAAAAAAAAACTGGCTAGACCACCCCAAATTTTTGCAAATTTAGTCGACAAAAACCAAGTGCCTATTCATAAAATAACATCAAATGTATATTTAATTTTTTTATTATTTAATTTAATGTGTGGTAATGTGTGTGCAGGTCAGGTCAGGTCAGATATTTTTAATAATTTTGCGAGGTTTCTATTTATATTAATAGTTATTTGTTACACAAGACGATAAAATTAAATTTTATTTTTGAGAGCAATTAATATGCTCAAAAAATAATGAAAATTTTATCGTCGTGTACAATATAAAATTTTATTTTTAAAATTCAACAATGAAATCTAATGTCATAAATTGTTAGCAACTAACAACCGCAGATATACAACAATGGATGTATTTTTTTATCATCTAGACGATAAAATTTCATTTTAACATGAAGAAAAGAGTAGATAAAATTAAATTTTAACATAGAATGAATGAATAAAAATATTTTTATTATCTTCAGACTCTTTTTAAGAAAGTGTTTAAAGATCGTGGGCATGAGTAAGAAATTATTTAATAATAAATAGTAATAACGATATTTATCATAAGAAAAATTCTGTAATACGTCAAAAAATTGCTATGAAATGAAAACTATGGTTAAACATTTTCATATTCTTCCAAAAATATAACTATAAGAATATTAATACACATATAAAAACTAATAAATGGTTTTTAAAAAAATATGACAAAAACCGTCACAAGTAACAAAAAAATTTCTTTTTTTACATAATGAACGTTCCGAGTGCGTTATTTGTTGAAATTATTAATCGCCGATTATTAGCAAAGAAGTTGACTGTAAATTGTAAAAATTAAAAAAAAACTACTTTATGTATTTTAACGCTACAATTGATATTTTAATTTAAAAAAAATACAAAAACCCGGCGCCTCCACCATAATTTCTGTCGGCATAAATCGAGTTTAAATATTATTTATTGTGTGAAAAACTAGTTTTTACATTGTACCTAAAAAAATAAAGAAAGGTGCAGATAAAAAGTTGCTAACATTATAATATTGTTTACAAAATTCTTTGCAAAACCAAAATTTTTTGCTATTAATCAATGTTGTAAATCAACAGTAAGTGATTTACATTCATTACTCTTTCAAAAATATCAAAAAAATTGCATTAAAAAAATCCCCACAAACAACATACATATTTAATTTTATTCCTGTAGTTGGCGTTCCGAGCACGTTAATTATCGCAAAAAAAACCATTGTTTTATTCGTTTAATATTAACATCGTTTAATTATTAAAAAAATAACACCACCGCCACAATTTTGTCAAATCTTGTCGCCAAAAACCTCGTCTCATTTATTTATAAATTACGCTCCGCGGGGCAATTTACTCACGGCATGTTAGAAAAAGAAAACGTACGGAAACTGAGCTAACATCTTGCAGAATTCAGAATGAAAAACTGTAAAAGCTATTGCAGTCGATTTTAAAATTACATTAAAGTTACATTAACTTTGTTAAAAGCACGACGTTCATTACTCGAATGTTTCTAATCGATTTTTTATCAGAAACCAGAGACATAAGAATGATAAAAAGTATCCAAATTACTCTTGTTGGGAGAATACAGATAGATTTGTTTTTTACGACCAGGGAATGATTCGGTGATGACGAAGCAAAGTTTTTTGCACAAAACTAAATTAAATTTTTGTTACACTTTATCACAAGTACAGTTTGCAAAATGTAGTTAAGCTTTAGTAATTTTTAAGAAGTTTGCGCCGTTGTTTTGCTGTTAATTTAGTTAAACTTTGTTAGTTTAAGTGGAGTCAAAGACAACTTTATTTAATTATTGCACCAGTGTGTTAGCTTAGTAATGAGGTAAATATTGTGTCAGCCGGACAGTTCGGTTGTCGATTTATTAACGCAAATAGGACACCCAACAGTGCGGTAACATCAAACCCATTTATAAAACAACAAAGGAAGCCACAATCGATAAACAATGACGTCGCTTTCCACTTCCTGATTCACCTTGAAACACAATTAAGTCAAGTCATTTATTTGTTAAAAATCGAAAACTCGGCCTGTATCACAGCGTTCCAAAGTTTCATCCGAAATTTGATTATCTCGATTTTTATTCGTTATATCTGGGCGATAAATTTTCTATTAGCAAATTGGCTTCGCGTCATTTGACACAATAAAACGACGACATGCATGGCATCGTATGTAATTTACAACAGTATAAATAAATTTATCGGTGCTCTAAGCCATCCGATTATTATTAAATTTCGTGTGTAGGAAACGAGTTTCAAAGTGATTTAATTCCTTCAAAACATTTTGTACATTTTGGCGTGCTATCAGTCCGTCAAGCCGCCCCAAACAGGCGATTTAATTGCGCGGAAGAGTTTTCCAGTTTTAAACCCTCAACAAGAATAAAGTTCCATCTTAAACCCAACAAAACTCGTGATATATTTTAAGTATTAGTTATTCTTTTCTCGACGAAAGCTTTGTCGTAAAGCTCGCTGGTAATAAAACGAACTTGCAAATAGAAACAGAAGTGTTCTCGTGTTGATAATGAGTGCCTTCTTAAACAAGATACCTCCAGTGCTTGGCTTAACGCGATACGACGTTCGCATACAAATATCAAACCGTATACATTGATCCGGTTTCACCCCGGAGTGTTGAAACAAACCGGACCGGCTGCACACGACAGCCTGCCAAGGTAAGCTCCGGGCTATAAACTATCACTAATGCTCGTTTAATAGCGTTTGCACAAAGCACTACAATTGTTCGGTTTGTGTGTAAACTCGTGGCCGCAATTGATGGCAGGATGTGTGTCTAGGAATAAGGAATAAGGTGACGTAAATTACAAGACGACAAGAAACGACGAGAGAATATAAAACTAATTTATTATTAACAAGAATAGAATGCACACTATGCACTTGACCTAGTTTTACATGAATATATTCTATTTATTTTGGAAATTTACAGAATTCAAGTTGGATTACTTTTATTAAAGTCTTACAAACACTGATTCAATAACAAGTTTCATATTCTATAATGCTAAAGCCATAAAAAATATTTTTTAGGATGCT